ACGAGGAGGTTTACACTTCCACCACGCGTTCCTAAGCAGGATACAAATACACCACTTGTAAAAGGAAGATAAAACATTTCGAAGAGTATAAATCTTTTGGAAGGGCAAAAATCAAAGAAATGTCCCTCAAATTCATCAAAATAGCAAAAAAATAAAAATAAAAAACCCTAACACATCATATATAAAAGTCCTCTAGATAAAAACTAAAATTAAAAAAATTAAAAAAATGGGAAAGAGCCATAATGGAAAGAATCAAAAGATTAAAACATGTTGAAAATAAAAAGGAAAAGAGATAAAGGCTCTCAGACAACTATGTTGTATTAAATGTAAAAATAAATAAATAAATAAAATTGATTGTTATGTCTGTTATAAAAAATGTTCATGACGATTTTGACGGGGAAGGCAGATACGTTGTCTTTCTAATTAAAAGGCTAGGCGAACCTAAGAGGCAGAGAAGTGACGAGTGAGGAGAAGAAAGATGAAGAAGATTAAGTCCATGCAATCTGTGCGAGTGCTCGTGGGCTCACGAAGAAGGGAGTCGAAGCTGAAGTCGCTCATTCTGTGCTAAGGAGAGGTGACACCCTGCTTGCGGGGCTACCTACTGTCAGTGGCTTTTCCTGTGGGTGTCGAACTTGGGAGACAACATTGAAAAAACAAGGAGATTTGATGTTGTTTTTAGGAGGAATGATATAGGCCACGAGAGAGATGAAGTCACGGTGAAGGATTTGCTTGCAGTTGATAAGCCAGTGAGTCAACACGTGTAGTTGGGGCTACAATGTGCAGGCGAGTAGGGTCCTATGCACTAAGATAAAGTTGAAGAGGAAGCTTGGCGTGTTGTTGTTGAACCAAGTAGCTTTGCAGGCTGGAGGCACTGAACTGAGCATATATAAGAAGGTTAGGGTTTATTTGAGTAGATTTTTTTAGTATGTTATTTGAAATTTGTAATTTAGTGTTAATTTATGTTTTTATGCTAATTAAAAATAGAAATTAGAGAGTAGAATAATTAGATTTGGAGGAGAAAGAAGAAAGTTTACGACATCAATAAATTAAGTGTTTAATTGAAAATTTATTTGTACTCAATTTAATTATAAATTGGCACATATCAAAACAAGAATATTATGAAAAATTACCAATGATTTAGATTGTGTAACAATCAAATTAAAAGACAAAGAAATTTTTTTGTGCTTGAGGTGTAATTGGTTTTCCTCATTTCAGTTATTTTTCTTACTTCCTGATTGTATTATTTATTTTGGTTTTTCACATTCATGTTGTATTTCTTCAGGGCTTAGACTACCAGTGATATCTTCATATTGTTAGGTTAGAAGTGTGTATATGAGCAATTTTGTATAAACTGTTGCATAATGTTTTACCGATGAAGTTATTCGATTCTTGCATGTCCTTTTGATTCTAGTAAACATACATTTATTCCTTAGTAGATGAATGTAAATTATCACATAAGAAGATAATTTATGATATGAAGTTTGAAATATTGTATACGTGAATGCTTGTATGCGTGTGGTGTTCACCCTCTTATAGTGCTCGAAGGGGATGTTAATGTGTTCACGCACGAGAGTTTTTTTTCTACCACCTCAGACGATCGTGAAATTTAGATCAATAAACTATGTCAATAAGAAAGTATCTATCAGGGGTGAGTAGGCACCCTACCACACCAGTTGTGAAATTTGGATCACTAAGTGCTGTGCCGATATGGAAGTATCGGTAAAGGGTGAATATGCACCTTTTCACCTCAGGCAATAGTTGACATATTGTATTAACCAAAGAATTTATGATTGCGGGAGTTCTGTGCATATGGGAAAGGTGCGTCCCGCATCAATATTATTCAAGTCAAACTCTTTCATAAAAAGGGCCGAGTAATTTTAAAATTAGCATTTAGGTTTATGTTTCAATTGCAAAATATAATATAAAAATCCTTGTTGAGCTTGGCTCAAATGCTCAAAAATCTTATTTGAACATTTTAATTAGTTTTCTTTCATAAAACTAAACCCTGGACTTCTTCCTCTTCCAAATTGGTGCAACTCTGACCTAGGGTAAGTCATTCAAACCTTAAAGAGCTCTTGGTTTTTTCGTTCTTGCTTGTTCGCTCGAGCAAGATCTTATCACTCAAAACACCGACTCAGCGCAGAGCACATACATATACATGCTTTCGCCTCACATTTACTTAGTGCTGCATGTGCGCCTCTTCCCGCTTGCACGTGCCTCGTCTCTCTTGTTTGTTCTCCATCTCAGTTTTGCATTGAGGACCAATCCCTCTGTCTCCTTCTCCTCTCTTTTTTCTCTATCGTCCCCCTTGGTTCCTCAGTTTGCCTCATGAGACTGCAGGCAATCCTCTCTTAATAGTGAACCAACTAGCATTAGTTTAATTGAGCTGACGACAATCGGTTTAGATTCTTATTTTATTGGATTATTAATAATTCATAAATAATGAATAATAAAAGTTTTAATTAACTTTAGTAAATTATTTGCTATCACATGTAGCGGATGACAATTTTTTTCTTGCATATTATTTAGCAATTTTGGTGTTCTCAACCTTGTAAGCGTAGGAACACGTGAATCTTTGAGATGAGTAGTAAATTTAGGGCTCATTTATGGTAACTCACTCATTCACTTTTCGTAAAGATGCCAAGTTATGTTTGATTTCTACCTTTTTTCTGTATTTAAGATAAATTTTGCTTTGAGAATTAGTTTTTCACTACTAAATTTGCTAGTGGGATATATTTAAGAAAAGGTTATATGACTTTTTAGAAGGAAAAAAAAAATAGTAACAATAGCGATTCTAATTTTTTTTCCACAATAATTCTATATTACTTGTACAAACTGCTGCAGCTATCCTAAATGGACCATCATGATTGGTTGATTCCATTATTTTTATTTTCAATAGAATTTTGCATCTTTGCTTTTCATTAGTAATAGATTTTTAGATAAAGGAACCGAGCAGCTGACAATCTTTCCAGTGAGAGAATCTATTCGGAAGAATAGCTAAGTTGAAGGGGTAGCGGAAGCAATACAAGGTCTTCCAGCTTGGGTGAGGGCTACACAATTGGAGGAATGCCATGAGAAAGATTTGTCAAAGAATATACTACCGATGTGCTTGTATGCCACGAGAGCCAGATTGGAAATTAGCCTTTTCGTGAAGCATGGTACAGAAAGTGTGAAGAACTTTTAGAATTGGCTACCGATGAAAGTGATTTGTTTTATCAGAGTTTTCAAATGTGGAAGAATCATTTTGCTAGTAGGAGAGAAAACCACAACAGCTGAAGAATGCATGGTAGAAGAAGCAATTATTATTGTGCCTATCTGCAGCCCGTTTAGGCTATTAGTTGATCGCTTTATCTCATTTTCATAAAATACTGACTTCCAAATATGTTGCTCAGCGCATTTGGGTGTGTGCTCGAATTAAAAGAAAAAGATTGACGATAGAAGAAGCAATTATTATTGTGCCTATCTGCAGCCCGTTTAGGCTATTAGTTGATTGCTTTATCTCATTTTCATAAAATACTGACTTCCAAATATGTTGCTCAGCGCATTTGGGTGTGTGCTCGAATTAAAAGAAAAAGATTGACGATAGAATTGATAATCGGATTGGAAACTACGGGCTGTTATATAGAAATGACCGACTATGATGTCTAAAAGAAAAACCATATTTGGATTCCGACGAAACATATTTGGAAGTCATTGTAATTTTGAAGAATTGTTTGCCATCTGGATCAACCTTCTCTATTGGCATTGAAATTTGAAATAGAATGGGCTGTTTTGATTACCAGCATTCTTGTAAGAATTTGCATGAAGGGGAATAAAGACAGCTGTAAAAAGACATTATTTTGATTAATATGTGCTATGTAAACCTTCTGAAAGTTTAAGTCAACCATTTCACTATAGGTCTTCAACTTCCACAAAGATAAAATCTTCTAAAAGTGATTCCTCGGGATATGATGAGCTCCTCCATGCAAAGGAGGCTTTTTATAAAATAAATTTAAAGAATCTCAGTTTCAGATGGAATAACTTCGAATACCAATCTAAGCACAGATCAATCTCTTCAATGTTAATATGGAGCTTGGTCATGATTTATGCATCAATAAATGGATATGCTCATTACTGAGATATAGGTAGGGATACGAAACCAAAAATTGTAATGGATGTGCTGTTGTATCTTTGTCTTCTAATTTTTTCCTGTTAATTTCGTTTCACTCTAAGTTTTTTATAGCACATGGCTATACCTTTTGTGGTTGATTTCTTATCTGCTCATCTGCTCATCTGCCTTTCATTTCTGTTTATGGTTATATTGACTGGAAATACTACGTCAACGTAAAAAGGAATCTCTTTGACAGATTTGATTGGATCTTAAACTTTATATATGTAGTTAACATTTATCTTTTGTTTATAGTTTTCTTGAATGATTGAGCTTAAACTTTATATATGTACTTAACATTTGTCTTTTGTTTATAGTTTTCTTGAATGATTGAGCGTGGATGTTAATTCATCTAATTTACGTTATCAACAATTTTTCATCGTCTTTTACTTTGTGCCAACTTGTTGGGGTATGCTTTATGGAGCATATTTTACCATTTGTTTCTGTTGAATGTTTAAGATATTAAATATTTTCCTTGCTAATCATTTTTAACAATTTCTATCTATATAATCTTATGTTTACCTCAAATGCTTATCCTCTGATTGTATTTTATATGTTCTTTGTGTGGGCATATTTTTTTACCCTTTATTGTATATGGTTAAATTATTTAATTATATTTTCCATTTTATTTCTCATTTTTTAGTTATATTAATTTTCCCATAATATTCATAAAGTGCATTTATCTTAGCCATCCGCATTAGTCATTTGCGTTGTTTGCTAGAATATTTATCCATCTTTTGCTGTAGAAATCACTTGATTTTTTTGATTGCTGATAATTTCCCCACTTTTTCACTTGTACTGATGTTTTGTTTCTTCTCCCCTTGCTACCCTCCATCACGGCAACACCCACCAGGTTTGCTCATATGAGAGTATGCAAGCAGGTCTTTACCGTCTGAAACGCCTAGGAATAAACCGGCTTACTAATCCTGTTGGGCTGTCTTCTGCAATGAACCAACTTCCATACGAAGCTATAACTCTGGCTGCTGCCTCTCATATTGAAAGAGAGTTGCAGATAACTTCATGGAATCTGACAAGCAACTTTGTTGCTTGTACTAATCAGGTATTGCTCTATCTTGTGATCAGATAGATTAATTTTTTTTTACTAAAATCTTCAGTTTCTTCCGTATTTTTTTAAGTATTTGAATTTAAGAAGCTGTTAGCAAAAGGTATTTGTCTGAATTTGAATTTTGTTTCTTTGATAAAAGTTGTATTAGCCATACGTTACTAGCAACTTGTCTTGTAATGCTTCTTGCATAATTACAGAGAAGCCTTGTGTTTCCGTTATGCATTAATTTAGAGAGGTAGACATGAAAGAGAAATAAATTAAATAAGATCACATCCTTGGTTGTGATTTGTAACAGTCTGAGAATTCTAATTTAAAAAAAAAAAATACAATTGTTTATGTTGAATTAAGCTCTTGTCCATAATTTCTAGTTAATTTGCTTGATTATGATATTGTGCTCTCTCTCTCTCTCTCTCTCTCTCTCACTCTCTCTCTCTCACACACACACACACACATTTACAACATTTGGGTAATGTCACGCATTGAGTCCAAAAGGTGGTTCATTCAGGTAATATGAGATATACTTATTTGATGCTTATATGAAGAAAGTTCATAGATAAGTAACATAAATAGGAAGAGCACGAAAAAGTAAATATCATTTCACTCCATAAATGGTGGTTATACATTAATACATCATGAAAGGGATTACAAAAGTAATTAAGAAGGAACAAGAACAAAATTTTACAAGCGAATTGCCCAAAACCCGATAGAAATACAATTGAGTTCTTACAAAACTAAGAAATTTAAAACAAATTCTACATCTAAAAATTTTGCTTCCGTGATGATGGGCTTCCACGTACGTTGGAAGAAACTGCTTTGAGAAAACCTATAATGAGTGAGTTTTATAATTCAAGCATAAAATATAACTTTTATCTATTAAAACATGAACAATGCACTGGAATGTCAAATATGAATAATAAAAGAAGCAGTAGTTAGTAATACTAGCAGTGTGATGAAAGTCATTCAGTTGTCAAGTTTGAAGTATGATAGCTTGAGAGGAAGAGCGTAAGAAATCTTCATGACCATTATGCCTATAATCTTGTGTGGTAAACATCCATACATCTTTGTGTTGACATCATATGCCACCACATCATGTATATGTTACGTTGGTGCCTAGTTTAATTGCAATTTTATTTTTTGTGCGCCTATGGGTAGTTTAGTCTTTGGTCATTTATTATTATTTTAGATTAAATAGGGCTAATATGTTTAGGGTTTGGGTTATGTGAAAGATTGTGCCTTGAGTCTTAGGTTTAGGATTTGTGAGAGATTTCATCTATCAAATTGTAGGGAATTGGGAGAGATCACTTACGTCTCAAGTTGTAAGTGCTTATCTTTATGTATTTGTGTTGTTTTGTATGGTGTTTCTAAAATAAAGATATTTTGTGCCCTATATTATGTGAAAAAGCAACTTGGATCATATCAAAGTGATATTAGAGCGTTCGATCCTGAAAAGAAAACATCAGGATCGCGACATAGAGGTTAACTGTTGGGGATGAAAGCCTACATCGTCCTTTGTGGTTGAAACGCACGATACAGTCACAATTGATGGTAGCTGGGTAGAAACACAAGATTGCGGTGTACAGTGAGACACGATACAGTCGTGATTCACACCAACTGTGAAACAACAAAATCATAGCTTAGAGTGATGTGATGCCAACTTGCTTGGAAGGCGATGACGGACCGTGCAAGACAACCATGATTAGGGTAGCCGGGAAGAAAAGATGGAACCACGATAGCATCTGATTCTTTATTGCGATATAGTCACTATTTGGAGCCAGCGGGGTCGTCAATGTCAGGATTGCGGCTTCCAAGGGCCAACAACGGGATTGCGTCAGAGCTTGACCTTTTCTCTTAATCGCGGCGTATGGGGCCAATGGTGGGATCGCGACTACAGGATACAAATAGCTAATGACATATTTGAGCAGTATAGATGCAATCAAATCGAGGTGGAGCTTGCGGTACAGGTGTTCTAATCCAGTCCAGTTGCACGCGCCTAACGAACCTAGCGATAAACCTATTCTATTAGCAATTTTTTTCACCTTAAGGACTGTGCATTTTTGGAAGAGGAGTATTGTTACGCCTATGCTTAGCCTAAGGACACTTTTATCTTTTGTGCGCTTAAGGGCACTTTAGTCCTTGGTCATTTGTTATTGTTTAGTATGAATAGAGCTAATATGTTTAGGATTAAGGATATGTAGAAGATTGTGTCTTGAGTTTTAATTTTAGAGTTTGGGAGAGATTTTCTACCTCTCAAATTGTAGTAATTGAGAGAGATCGCCTACCTCTCGAATTGTATGTGCTTATATTTATATATTTGTGTTGTGCTGTTTGGTATTTCTGAAGTATTATTTTTGTTTTTTGTGCTGTTATTTTTATGAAGAATCGACTTGAATCATATCGGTATAGTCACACTTCCTATGCTTTACTCACTATTCATTTATTTCTACTTGATAATATCCTAAAATAAATTCGCACGTGCACACATGCACATATACAATATTATTTATCATCATAATAAATTTATATGTTCTCTACAACACAAGTTTAACAGGATTGATGACCTACAATGCATTTATTCTTAATAAGTATCATTTATCTAGCTTGAAATGTTAAATTCAAAACATCAAATCTATGTAAAACTCATTAAATGACGTTATATCAAAGAGGCATAGCAGCCGCAGAGGAGAGGCATGCATTGCCCGATCACTCGATCCTTATACGGTGAGCAAAGACAGAAATAAGAGAGGGAAGGTCATGTGATTTGCGTGATTTAAAAGGGGTGGAGACAACCTAGAGCGATTCGTGCAAAGGGAGGGCTTGGCTTTGGGGTTGTTATGCTTGGTTTGATCCATTTTAGGGTTAATAGCCCGGTTCAATTATTAGAGGCAAATACGCCTATGTTTATGTCATGTCCTATTTGATGAGTTCTATTAAATTCTTCGTAGTTTGTTTTTGTTGTTTTAGCAAGAGCATTATAGTTACTTTTTAGTATAAAAAATTCGATCCATTTGATTAAATTCCTTTGAGTGGCTATAGAACTCATTTTTTTCATGATGTAATATATGATATGGGTAAGATAGCGAATTTATAACTCAGTTTTGGAATGAAGATAATTCATCAATGGATCTTCACAATAATCAATCAGATCCATAACAAACATTCCTGATCAATATGCTATTGAATATCATTGTTACACTTCTTCGTGACTTCTTTAAAATTGGGAAATCTTGACGCTACCACTTTCCCTCAAGTGATTTTGAATACGATTCAGTGTAGAAATCAACACAGATTTTCTTAAAAATTAGCTCAAACACAAATTTTATTGTAATAATCCAACAAATCAACAGGAACACAAAGATAAGTACCTACGACTCTCCCAAAACCTAATTTTAGACTCACAATTGAATCTCATGCTTATCCCCTAACCCTAGACATAACATTCCTATTCATACCCAATAATAATAATAATAAATGACAAAAATGGCCTTAGACTTATAAAAGACAAGTTTTCCCTTAGGCTAGGAGCCCTCGAAATAGTTTCATCTTCCTTACCAGGTTATTTAGCTCCACTTTCCGAGACTCTTTGATATAATTCAATCTTTTAAGTCAACCTAACTGGCCTGTCCATCTTATTGCTCAATTTTAACTTCCTTATGTGGAACATGCTGCCTCTAAAACAATGGCCAATGATTTTACTCTCCCGTGCCTTCACCATCTGGCCCAGTTGTAGCTCCTATGGTGAGTTATATGTGTCAGTTCATTTTATTAAAATGATACTTTTTGAATCAGTGGAGGTTTTGGCTTTTTCTTGGTGGTCTATCTGTATTAATGTTTTAGCTCCTATGGTGGGTTATAAGTGTCAGTTCATTTTATTAAAATGATACTTTTTAAATCAGTGAAGGTTTTGGCTTTTTTGGTGATCTATCTCTATTAAAGTTGAACTTTGTTGGCAATATTGTTTTATCTGTATTTGCTCGTAGCATGGATGCCTTTATTTGGAAAATGAATCTCAGTTTCCTTTTTTTTATGATTTCACCGACTTTAATCATTAGGCATCTAGAATATAAAGATAACTCTCTTGAACAATCTATGATTTCACCGGCTTTAATCATTAGACATCTAGAATATAAAGATAACTCTCTTGAACAATCTTTAAAGTGCAAAGAGTAGTTTTGCTTATTTTTATTGGAATTCCATTCTATACTCTAGTTTGCAGGTTTGCTTAAAATAATTGGAATCAGATGTCACCTTGATACCGGAGTTAACCTGAACCACAACAAGAAAATCAAATAATATTAATAAAAACAAATAAAATGTTACAACCAACACTCTTGAATAGAAAAATACATTAACATGACACCCAAAAATCTGAAATAACAACAGACACGACACATTCAAACTATTGTTGGATCAGGGGGTGGTGTTGGTGGTTGACAAAGGCATAAAAGGTGGTGGAGTGGTGGATGAGGCAGTTGACAAGCAAAAACTGCTCAACAGTGGTTTCCAAACGTGTGGACTGCGTGCAAGCCACAAGAGTTGATGTAGAATGGCTGACCAACATGATGTAGGAAGAATGCGGCCGGTTTGTAGCAGCATCAACAACAAAAGTGTGGTTGATTTGGGGTTGCCGACAATATGGCGGAATGAGAGGAGTGTGGGTTCTGGATGAAGACAACAAGTTGGAAGGAGTGTGTTCTTCCTGAAAGCGACAGGAAGGTGAGCGGAAGGATGGCTACTGGAAGGCCAAGAATTGCAGGGGAAGACAACTTCAAGGCTGTTCGGGAAGCTGCAGCGTTGGAAGATGTCTGGGAGCGTCGTGGGAAGATGTGGGAGTCAAGAAGATAAACATCACCACAGGCGAGAGATTCAACCGGAGCACCATCCAATTCCTTGGGTACAACACTCGCGCACGGAAAGCGGTCGCTGACAACTGTCTTGAGAGAAATTTGACCCAAAAAGACAAAAAACAACATATTTATAGATTTAGGGTAGGAGTG